AGCCTCAGGAGCTTTACGAAGCTCGGTACATGCCCTCATTCGTAGAGGTAACACTGACTGTGTTGAGAAGTAGGGATGTGAGCTTGTGTTGTATAGCTATATCTTGATGTACAGTACGTCTGATTTTGTTCTTTTTATATCATAAAACAAATTGCAACACTTTTAGGGTCACCCTCGTACTAAACTATTAATTAAGTTTAAAACACCAGCATTCAAAATCTTAATTCTTTTCCTTTATGTGAACTAACACAAAGTCTATAGTTACAGACGATAATTTAAAAAACACACACGCTCAACAATCTTTCTTGATGGATACCTTAAAAAGAACACATACCTCCTGCGTGATCAGCTACGATCAGTAGTCAACAGAAGCTGGTAACATGGAGATTTTACATTACAAAATATACTAAGAAACTTTTCTTTTTGAAGTGAACCGTAAAGCAAGAGTAGAAGGTAACAGGGTTGCACGGCATGTCATGTGTTTCCCTTGACTGTCGTACTTCCTCCAGTAGCCTATTCGTGAACGACATTAGATGACCTGCAAAAAACTTGGAAAACCCTGATCCATGGGATTGCAGTTATAGAAAGAAAAAGAAGGATCAAGTAATTATAAAATGAAAGCTAGAAACAATAATAAAAGAAAAACAGAAATTAGAAGCCAAAGAGAAATATAGGAAAATTGTATGGAAAATTAAGCGAACTGAGAATGTAAGAGTAAGCTTTATCGGAGACATGGCAATATGTATACTGGGGATGCTAATGATCCCCTTGGAATGATAAGGGATTTAATCAAGTGTGGGGTGGCAGTAGGTTGCAAAGGGGATAGTCATGTCACAAAACTGAACGTCATTCCAAACCAAGTCGTGACAGTCTCTCGTTGATGTCAGCTGCGTATAGTTACCTAATGAAGAGCCGGCCAGACGCCGAGAGACCCACCTTTTTGACCGTAAATCAGTCTAATGGAGACCCCACCCCCCACAAAAAATAGAATTACACAGATTTACTGCGACATCAAATTATGGTTTTCTTTTTGTTTAATGTTTGTTTATACTTACTGATTTTTCAAATAAAAAATAAATGTTATTGTATTCATGCATTCATTTATGTGTGTGTGTTTTTCTCGTCGGGGATTTTTCTACGACTTTTTAGTGGTGGAAGGCAGAAGGAATTTCTTTCCTGTCATGTCTTTTATCATTCCCGACCCTTCCAACGACTTACCCCAATTCCGTCGTCACAGAACTGTAATCGGTCAAGCCTTTGTCTTGCACCTGCAAATTATTCTGTCAAGAAGAGCAGCGTTTATGTCGTTACGACCGCAAGAATAAAGAACGAAAGCTTTATTCCAAAGAGCATGAGTGCTACTATTACTGAGTCTGTACATGATGAAATCATCTCTCGAACCATGCTACGAACGGCCCTTCTAAAACGTTAAGCGGAGAAGCGCTTCTAAACTGCTGAGTATTTGTAATACGATGATTCTTCAAATACTTACCCATGTAACAGGCCATTGTCCAAGCAAAGTTATATAAAATAACAAGATTTTCTCGTGACTCACAGACTGCTGAGCTTCCGTTTTACCAGCATCAAGTTTTTGTACAAATCTGGTGCCCCTGCTATATATATCAAGATCCTTGAAAAAAATAGTTTGTAATGTAATCGATCTTGACAAGGTATCTCGACTTCAGTCACTTTCCAACCGACGTGATGTGGCTTTCCACAGACTGTTCTACAAATATCACCATGGCATTTCTTCGGGTGAGTTTTCCTCCTCGATGACCCGACTGCATGAATTTAAGCCTACTACTAGGTTTATCAACAACGTCTCATCGTTTTACTGTTGAACTAGCTCGATGCAACTGTTTGTTCGATTCTAATAGTTTCTCAAATTTCTTGTTTGGGGGACTCTCTTCCGGTTTTTTACTTCCCTGTCACCCACAAACGTCAAAATTTAAAATGCAACGCCAATCGCTACTTTCTGGCTTCTTGAAACTCTAAAGACTTCTCATTCCCTTTCATCGTCCTGGGTAAGACGATAAACTACATCCGCGTCCTGGATAAAACGATAAACTACGTCCAACAGCAAGGCCTCTGATCAGGAGGTTTTAAGGAGCGTGGAACCACCTCTTAATTGCTGGTGATCCCAGGTCCCCGCTTACTCGAGGTGGTAGCACCTGTAAGGGTCCCAGCTATGGGCAAATATTTAACAGCCAAACTTGTGTAAAAATAGGTCCTAATACCAGAAATACTTTGTAATAAAAAAATTATTACCAGTAATAATTTTTCCTTCAAAAATTATTATCAGCAATATTTTTTTTAAAAAATACCAACAATACAAACAGCTATACATTCTTTAAAAAAAATATGACCAGCTGTAGATTTCTTCAAGGAAAAATATTCCCAGACATAGATTTTTGAAGAAAAACATATTACCAGCAATAAAATTGTTGTCGGCATTACATAACCCATTGAGGTTGATATGCCGTAAAACAAAACAAACCAAATCATTCCCTTTCACTCCAATAATCCTCACGTCTTAGTGACTTTATCGCATTGTTTGAGGTATATATATATATATATATATATATATATATATATATATATATATATATATATATACCATCTGTATACGTCTGATACACTTTGAACTTTGTTCCAGGGTTTCAAACTAAAATGAAGAAAAACATTTAAAATAACATTATCTGGCCTGCTTCATTAGATAATTACGTCTTCCCACTTGAGCCAGGAGTCGATGTCCTTGTATCCAGTTAAGACGATGGATTTTCTGTGTGTTGAAACCTAGGGAAATTTACTGAATAGAATACTCACACGATGGTTGGTAATGAACGATAATACTTAGGACAAGAACAACACATACATGATTGGCCAGCGGCACGTAGAAGAAGTATTCAACTGCTAGAAGTGAATTCCACAATGAATCTCGACTGCAGACTGCAGTCGGTATATATAAACTGCCCCACGCAGTCAGATGTGGCACAAGGCAAATTTAATGTGGGGTATCCGAGCCCGTAGGCTCGGTCAAAAATTCCCCGTACACTCCGTATAAAACGGGTCGGTTAGGAGACTCTGCCCTTCGACATAGGCCCGTCTGGGTTGGTTAAGCTCTCTGCCCAGAGGCAGAGAGCTTAACCAACCCAGCTGAAGACGAATCTCCATCTACAGACTGGCCGACCAAGTATTCACTACTGTATTTATGGGAATGTTGGTATACCCATTATCGTCCATAGTTATGCTACAACACTATGTTAAAATTCTACGCCGGCAATTCATACCCACGACTCGGTGTCCTGATATTTTTTTCCTGATGCAGATAAAGTCTAATTTTAAAATTGTGCACAATAACATATTGACGACAATAAATGAATGAGAAAACAAACATTATGACAGTATAATGCATTAAAAAATCATGTGAAAAAAGACTAGTCCATACCATTGCATTGCATTGGCATCTTTCCATCTGGGGAGACGATGGTACAATGAAGATCCGTATGGGCCACAGTCTAGGCTATGGAGAATTAAGGCTGCTTATGGGTTAAGTTTCTCTTCTCGTCGTTGCCGTTGGGGTCTAAAGAAAACGAAAAACCTATATAGTTTGGAAAGGCAGTTGCTGGAAGTTGACGCTGTAGACAATCCAACCGACTTCTCATAGCCTTTTCTTCTTTATCCAGAAGAAATCTGGGGTCGAATTTAAAGTCTTCCTTCTACTAGACAATCTGACATTCAAGACGGATTCATGACTTTTCTAAAAGCTTTCATGCTCTTTCTAAAAACTTTCATGCCTTTTCTAGAATTTCCTATGCTATTTTTAGAAACCTTCATGCCTTTTTCTAGAAGCCTTCATGCCTTTTCTAGAAGCCTTCATGCCTTTTTCTAGAAGCCTTCATGCCTTTTCTAGAAGCCTTCATGCATGCCGTTAACTGTTAGGTTACTTCTTCGTCATCACAGCATCGTGTGGGACATTGTTCAGATTTGCTTGACTACAGATTTATAACAGAACACATTCGGTGGCAAATCCAAGAATGTTGGTCAATCTTATAATCGTCACAGTTAATTCCCTTAGGGAATTAGCTGACCCACAGAATTTTGGCATTTCCAACATCGTATGAGATTTACTGTCAGTCGTAAATTGAGATTGAGACTGATTTCTCCGTGTAATTGGCACAACCACTGAGCTGCATCCTGTGACTTTTTATGATTCCCATTTAGTTTTATCTATCTTCTCCGACCTGATTGATTTGTTTTTTTACGGTTTATCGACCTTTTGCATGTTATTTAAAACAAGAAAATATTTTTAGTTTGTAATTTTTTTTCGTTTTTATTTTGGTAGTGGGAGATAATAATGATTTATTGATACAAGTTCTAGTTAACCTATAGCTGGGAGAGAAGAGGTGGATTAATTCCATTCCCAACGGTATTTGTACGTAAGTTGAAAAGGCTAGATGTTTTTTAAAGTAATTCCTTACTGTCGATACTTAAACTTTCCCACCGTTGTAACAAAGCTTTCTTGTGCTTTTTCTATAATTACTTTCATGGTAATTGTTCTGATGAACTTTTATCTGTGGTAGCTTTACTTTATGAATTTAAGCGCAGTACTAGATTGACGGCAAGATCTCATCATCTTACAGTTAAAATGGTTAGATCCAACCGTAAGTTCTATGCTAACAGTTTCTTCTTTCGCACTTCTCACTTATGGAACTCTCTTCCGGCGTCTTACTTGCTAGTCAACTTTGATCTTCAAAAATTTAAATGCAATGTCAATCGTTATTTTTAGTCTTCTTTTCTCTTCTTTTATTCTTCCCTCCCCTTAACAATGTTTGTTTTTCTCATATTCTCTCGGTAAAAACTTGCGTTTTTAGTGGCTTTATTGCCTTGATTGGAGTGAAATGTTTAAACAAAAGTGAATATAACGAATTGGAATGGGAACTCGATTTTCCTATTTCTTATAGCAAGCCGTTATCCATTACACCACCCGCACATCCATGCTTACAGCACTTGGAATTCCCAAATGGTCTCCCATCTAGGTATTGACCAGGATCAATGTTGCTTAACGTCGGTGATCGTACGAGAACTGATGTTTCAATGTATTATGGCCGTCAGCTCCTCTACGATCTCCCCGGATTGATTCGACCTGTCACGAGTAAATACGCCTGCCGTTAGAGGTCACAGTGATGCGTAAGACAGATCACCACATTAAAGGTGAGAATCATTTATGGAAAAACTCATAGATCGTAACACATTTTTATTGTCGATTTTAGCAAACTTATTGTACGATTCTTTCTTTTCTTATTAAGTCGAGAACTTTCAGCTTTTCAGTTAAAGAAAGCACTTAAGAGCTCCACTTTGGCAACAATTATTAAGTCAAACTTATGAATTCCTCTCTGTATTTCTGGGATTACACGTTATCATTATGTAAATGCATACTTCTGTCCTCATCTTTGTTGTTAATAACACACCGTTTCGGTCGTTGGGCCCTGTGACGTCGTCCCCCGGTCACAGCGCCAACTCTGACGTTCTATCCTGATCTACCACGGCGCCAGTTGTGATGTGGTCGTTCCAGGGTCCTATCCCGGTCATGACACCAGATGTGACGTCCCTAAACAGCACAAATTGTGACGTCTTCGCCGCGGCGCCAGCTGTTCGCTCCTCGCTGCTCCGTCCGGGTGTCGCTGCTCCAAACGTGACGTTCTAACCCTTTGGTGATTCGGGTAGGAATCTGGTTAGATTTGACATCAGCCTCGCCGTTCCCAACCTGCTTCCAACGCCTGGTTACCAAGGTAACTGCACTGATCTCCAGTCTGCCTACCCACGTTGTGAATTGATCTTAGACAGACGAGATCAAACAGGGGTTGGGACCGTAATGCAAATTGAGTTCAACGGGGGTGATAACACACAAATATGCATAAAAGAAAAGAAAATGAAAACTCAAAAAGTTCAAAGTATCAAAGAAAAAGGTAACAAACTTTTTATGTCTAGTTGTTCGATAAATAGGACTGCATCTACCTCCCGACCCGTTCTGTGGATTGTGGCACGTCGCTTTCGCTAGGCAAGTTTTAACGCTTCAAGTTGTCTGCTCTCTAAGAAATTTGTGTTTCGGTGTGTCTTTGGACGAAAGTCGAAAAACTTATTTCTGTGGTCTGGTTCTAAGTCGCTCTTCAAATTAATTGTTCTTGGTTGAAGAAGAGTCCAAAATTTTGCGTGAATCTTGGTCAGCTATCTTGAGGCGGCTTCAACACTGGGCACTCATCTCTGCCGTCCGGGCCTGAATTAACTGTCTTCTGCCCGCCAGGGTCGAACGAACTCTTGTCTGCCTGCCTGGGTCCGACTGAACTAACTCTCTTCTGCCCGCCTGGGTCGAACGAACTGATTTCTGTCTGGTGGGGCTTCGTTTTTATTGACGCCGACCAAAACCGGGGTGTGTCTGTTGGCGTCGGGGGTTCCTCGATAATTCTAAATACATATCCACCTCTTTTTATTTCTGGTTAGGGATTTTCCCTCTTTTCCATTTTGGTAACTTTTTCTCACTCCCACTTTCTCACCATGCTTCTGAGGGGCGTGAACTGCCCTCCCCACTTCTTCGTAGCGGCTTCTCATACTTACACTCTGGATAGGGGCGTCGACAGTTTTCTTCGTGCGTCACGTGACCACTCTCAGCCAATGAGGTCTTGGTCTGGTATCTTTCCTCCTCCTTCGTGCGTCATGTGATCACCACTTGGCCAATGACGTCTTAGTCGGTCGTGAACAACCCGCGGCTTTGTTTTGGAAAAGAAATATAACTTGCTTAACTAAAAAAAAATAATGATCTCTCCTCTTTCTTTTTCTTTCTTTCCTTCAAATCGCCGTTATCATGAACGGATAATGTGACAACTCTTTGTTCAACACGTGGCGTTTGTCAAGCAGTTTATCGGTAATGCATTAGACGGCTGGATTTTCCGACATGGTCTAAGAAAGGAATTTTCTCCAAGTTCTCAGCCAGTCTGGCGTCTCCAAAGCAGAAATAAAAATATTTCATTTTCCTTCGGTTCATGTGTCTGATAACAAAATTTTATTATCGCAGGGCAAAAGTCTGTTTTGTCGAAAAAAAAACTTAACCAGTGAAACTACTTGTGTGGGATTTTAATTTTCCATACCCAGCTAAGGCTCTAAGCTACACCTGTGTTTTGTCAATTATCAAAATCTAACGTTTTCAAGTGGACTTTCTTTGGTGACATCTCTTGATAACACAATTCCATTCGCGCGGACAGTGGAAATCAGTCAATGCTTGTTCGCAGGTGGCCTTTTAACCAATAGTTTAGATAACACCTCCCTATCCACTCAATCTCATTGTCATTGTAATGAAACTCCTTTCGACATTTGACACTTATCCAAAATAACCCTTTTCTTTCTTATCTTTTCTTAAGCCGTGTGTGTGTGTGTTCGCCTATGATCCGTCCCGCATTACTTTTTCCTTTTTCCCTTTCTTCTTTTTCTTTCTTTCAAATCGCCTGGATGCATGGCGCCACAATCCACTTGCAAAAAGAAAGAATTATTCTTAAAACCTAAAATACATTTCGGCCTTAAATAATCCTCACATGGTTGATAAACCGTAAAAAAAAGCAAATCATATATCTATAAATATATCTTTCAAATCGCCTGGATGCATGGTGCCACAGCCCTCCGGCTTTCTCAGGTGTTTCTCGATCTGTGTAATATTCTTTCACACTCAGTAACCCTTTGCATATCCGTGGCTTAATTGCTTTGCTTTGTGTGAATTTTTTTTTAAATAAGAACATTAAGGGAATTCCCTTTAGTTAATCTACATGGTCGTTCTGCTGACTATGTCTAGGGATATTCCGTCTAGTTCTTAGTAAGTACTACTCAGTTATTGTCCGCCCTGTTCCCATTGAAATACAAGTACACACTGCACAGCCCAGATATTAAATTCTCTATGGCTATGTCACAAAATACAGCAACCAACGCTTTAATCTACTATCCACCGTGGAACAATCCTGAAAGGAGAATAGACATAAAAAGCTAACCTGCCTGCTGATTAGTCCTGCTGATGCTTGCCATGCTTGGCATCAACCCCTGAGATTTCTCTTTTCATCTGCTGCTTCTCTTAAAGTTTTGTTGTCATTATTAATTATTTCTGAAGCTGACCGCGGTGGGAATTCGCGGAAAACGAAAAGGCAGATAATGGAGTCCAGTGCAGTAAAATTATAGAACTGTGTTTGCGTTGGCATTGTGTAAATAAGTTACAATCAAGTGAAGTGTCCATTCCCAAATTGTTGAAGACAATGACACACCCGGGAGGTGCTGCGAGAGAAAGGACCTCACTAGCAATAACTCGAGATAGCTGCATGCTGATGACAATTCTGGGGCAATTAGGTAGACAATAAACGTGTACGAAGAAGGTTAATGGTGAAATGTCCCATACAATGCCGTGTCACTATGCTAGCTTAAAATAAAACTGGAGTATCTGCTATATATCTTTGGTAATATAGCCAGGGGTATTTTCTCTGAGATTTATTGGTGCATAAAAACAAGACGCAGACACAGAAGAATAGAGAAATAAAACCGCAAATAAGATTAATATTTCGTTTATGATGGTTGATTGATTGCTTAACAATTGTCTGTCCGGCAGAATATCGTCCCATTGACTCTTGCATATAACACGGTGAAGAAACGAGAGATTGAAAGCAAAACAGATCAAGACAAAAACTAACAGAAACAAAGTGGAAAATACAAGACGAAAACCAATTTTAGAATTGAACATGGCGCGACACCGAGTTGCACAGACGAAAACAAAAGGGGAGGAGGAAAACTCGAACGGCACCTGAAAGAAGAAAAGTGGGGAGCTAAACCTGTGAAACTACTTATTTACATAAAACAAAAATCCACTGACGCATCAGCCGTTCTCTTAAAGTAACCATCATCATCATCATCATCATCATCATCATCATCATCATATCTTGGGATGTAGAACACTTCTAACATAGGTTATAAACTAACTGTTTTTGAAAGACGAGATATCACTGCTAGGGTCTGTTAATCAAATACGTTAAAATTTGAACCCCCTGCAATGGTTATATACATATTGCTCAAGTGATTATTATCTGATGAGACAAATTAACGAAAACTATAATAATGAGAAAACAAACTATTTTACATCTTAAATAAATATGAATTTATCCTAAAAATGTTGTCGGCATTAAATAACCCACTGATGTTGATATGCCATAAAGCAAAATAAACCAAACCAATCTAAACCAAAGTATACATATTCTATTCATATGAATTTATCCTAAAAATGTTGTCGGCATTAAATAACCCATTGAGGTTGATATGCTATAAAACAAAATAAACCAAACCAATCTAAACCAAAGTATACATATTCATAAAACAAAATAAACCAAACCAAACAAGCGAGAGGTAAACGCTGCCACATTAGTAAGTTTTCAGTTGATACAGTACGCAGAGTATTGCAGAAAATGCCACTTGAACGTTAGTATAACTATTAAGGGACCTTACCCATAATAACATAATGGACTATTACATACGTAATAAATACTGCGCCTCAAGAGGAAGCAGAGAGTTCAGTCTGAAGTCTAGAGTGAGGTCCGTCAAGAGTCTGTCAGTCAGTCAGAGCGAGCGAGTCAGTCAGTCGAGTCAGAGGCAGTCCGAAACAGAGTCGCGCTCAGACAATTACTACTAAACCTGATTGTTCGTACTAACACTTTCTACTTCTCTGTATATATTCCTGTTTGTAATATATCTGTGTTATTCCATATCCTCCTTCGAGTTCTTCTTTATTTGTTCTACCTTGGACTATCGCCGTGGTACAAGAACCAAAAAAAAAACATCATTAATCAAAAAACAATATATTAGAAGAGTTAAGTCGTCAAATGAACATCTTCCATAGAATGCTGGAATGAGGAAAAAAGTAATTTTAGTGAGAAATGCAAAATAGAGTTACAATCTAACGGAAGAGAATATGTAAGACCAGAAGGAGAAAAAAAAAACAATGCACGATACACCACAAAGACGATAAATTCTGATGGTGGACACGTAATTATTTAAGGTTGCATTAAAAGCAGTAGTAGAAAAAAATGAATAAAAG